CTCCCCAGACCTGGTTGTCCCGACGCCTGGACCTGAGGTTCCCAGACCCCCATGTCCCCTCCGCCCAGCCCTCGGGCGTCCTGCCCTCAGATCTCGGGTGTCCGGCCCCCGGGGAGATCCCGGACCAGGGCCTGGCCGGGGTCGCAGCCCTCAGCGCCGGGCCGTGCCCCTCGCTTCCCGTCGTGGCTGCGCCCGGGCGTCGGTGGCCTGGGCATGTCGCTCACTTGAGTGGCACAGAGGAGATGAAGGGCGAGCACCGGCTCAGGGGGAGGGCGACCGTGCTCGGCCGGCGGGCCTGTGGGCCGCAGGGGCTGTTCCAGAGCCGGCTGTGCTGCCAGGGGGGGGTGTTTTGTCCACATCTGAAAATGCATAAAATTACAGTGTCCAGCTGGGGGGCAGCCCTGCAGCCCTGCGGCCGCCCGCCCTGCCCACGGAACTCAGCAGGCCCCCGGCCGCAGCCCCTTCCCGGAGCGGCCTCTTTCCACCTTAATAATTCAGAGCGCTGGGCCCCGTCCTGTTTGCCACCAGGCGCCTTCCCCTCGTGTCTGCATCAGACGCAAGGGCTCTAGGCCACACTGGGGACCTGAGCCTGGGGCCGGGTGGGACGCCCCTGGGCGGGGGGCCTGAGGCAGCCTGCTCTCCGCCCGGCTGTCAGTGGCCATCTTGCACCCTCTGTAGCCCTTGGCGGCGCCCAGCGCCCGGGCTGGGGCCTCCTCCAGGGAGGGGCGTGGAGGGTGCGGCAGGGAGGCCCCCTCCGCCCGCAGGGTCTGCGGCTCCCTCTCCACTGCCCTTCCCCGTGCCCTTGGAGGCTGTGGATGGGGCTCTGGCCCTTGGGAGGGAGGGGCCACCGCCACACCTGAGCCAGCAGGTGGAGGCTGGAGCTTTCTTTGGCGGGGTGCCTGGCCCTGCCCTCTGCCTGCCTGCTGAGAAACCAGGGTGCCTGAGAACTGGCCTTTAAGCTGGCAGTTCCTGGAGCAGCCGGAACCGGCCAGGAGTCAGACCCCTTCACAGCGATGACCTCTGCGATTGGTTAGGGTTTCGGCAGGCTCACCCTTCTCTTGGGGGGAGTGGGCACCGCCATGGAGAGGGGAACAGGATGGCTTTCGTTCTGGTGTGCTGAACCAGCCCTCACCCGCTCCCACCCCTAGGGCTAGGGTCGGGCTCCTCCTGAGGGCCAACAGCCTGTACAGTGCGCCTTCTCTCTCTTCCCCAGGACTACCCCACCCTCTCTTCAGGGTAGCACCTTCATTTGTATAGAAATACACAGCAGGGAGCTGGGCATCTGGGCCCCTGAGGGGAACTGCAGCCCATCCCCCCTGCGTGGTGGCATCCCAGAGATCCTGTCATGTAGTAAGTGTCCCCAGATGTCTCCCTGAGCAACCCCAGGCACAGACCAGCAGGAGAGGGTTCAGAGGTGGGTCTGCCTCAGCTCCCCACCAGCCCATTGGCCGGTGATGCTTGTTGGGGCCTTTTTTGGGGGCCAGCTGGCTGCATCCAGAGCATTGGGCCCTTGATGGGACTTCTCTGCTGACGGCTTTTCACCTGCTGAGTTTCCTGTGTGAGCAGCATCGGGGCGATGCCCACCAGCAATGTCCACAAGTGATGCCATCTGCTTGTTGGTGCTCTGATGCATTTGGTCGGTAGCTGGTGCTGTGGTCATGGTGGTCAAAGGCATGGCGCTGTGAGGCTTTTATCCTGGGACAGCTCTCCTAGAGGACCCAGTTTCCCTCTCCTGGTGGCATGGAGGACCCTTGCTGGGCCGGGTCCTGGCCCTCACTCTGTGAAGACACGTGGCTCAAAGCCTTGGGTGGCCCTGGCATTGCCATCTACTCGGTGGAGAAGGGTGATGACCTGGTGGGACTGGAACCTGGGGTGGTTTGGAAGAAATCCCAGCTGGTCTGGCTGGTGGGGGGCGGGGGCCAGTGCTGCAGCCCGAGGGGAGCCCTCCGGACCCCCAGGTGTGGACTGTGGCCTGTTGTAGGTCGGCTCGGTGTCCACGGTGATTTGTTAGGCACTGTCTGTGGCAGAGGTTGTGACTTTGGCTGGCTGGCCCTTAACCACAAGGTTTTTCTGAGTCCGACTTGAGAGTCCTGTGGTGTGTCCCTGCAGCAGCTATAACATGTTGGGGGGGGGCAGTTGCTGCCCCAGTGTTTTTTCCATGAGCATGAAGTTCTCACTTCCAGGGTCTGGGGGGGTGCGGTTACTGAGGCTGGGGAAGAAGCAGGACGTTCGGGGCTGAGTTCTGGGTGAACTGCAAGGAGCGACGGACCTGCTGCGATTGGTCTGGGGGCTCAGCGCCTCCTGTAACCCCAGAGTGTGCCAGCTGCAGCCTCAGGCCCCACCTGAGACAGCTGTGTGACACCCACACTGGCCAGAGCTGTCCTGGTCATCCTCCTGCATTCCTTCCTCTTCCTCCATTTCCTTTAAAATAAATGACTTCAGGCCATTTTCAGACTTGCCGGGAAATGAGGGAGATGGTGGGTGGCGTGTCCCCTGCACAGGCCCCTTGTTGGTGTCCTACTAGTGTGGTGCTGGCATCACAATTAAAGACCCTGCCGTGCCTCTTGTCCTGGTCGGGCCAGCTCATGGGTGCCGCGTGGTGAGCACAGGGCACAAGCATGTCACCTGCCCGTCCTGGAGTTCTGTGTGGGACGCCTGGCACATGCCTGCAGCTCTGTCACCTGGCTGAGTCACTGGATGCAGGTGTGTGGATGGTGTCACAAGTCCCTGGAGGACCAGATCTGGCCATGTGATGGGGGTCAGCAGGTGCGTGTCAGGGTGGTTGTGAGAATTCACTCCCCACGTGCTTCCTGAACGCCAGAGCCCCGTGTGTGGGACGCCTGCCAGGTGCAGAGGTGGGTGCACACAGACACCCCTGTCCTGGGAGTGCCTACAGAGGTGAACACTGGGGACTGGAAGGAGGTGAGGCTGGGAGCCTGGGAGTTTCAAGTACTGAGAGTGCAGGTGCAGCCTGGCAGGTGCAGTCCCCCTCCCCAGGTTCAGCCTGGGCAGATGTAGCCTCAGCAGGTGCAGCCCACAGGCAGGTGCAGCCCAGGGCAGGTGAAGGCACTCTGACAGCCCCCCTCCCACCCAGTCCATCTGTGCAGTGGGAGTGTGGGTGAGGGTAGTTCAGCTTTGCTGTGAGTTGGTGGGAGACTGGATGGGTCGGCCTGACCAGGTCGGCCTCACACCTAAAAGCCCTGGGCACCCTAATGCAATGTGAGTGAGGTGACCCATTCATGCTCCCCGCTGGCCCCTGTTGCTGAGGGGACTGAGTCACTGCCCTGGAAGGTGTCCTGGGGAACTGGCCACCTACTCCCCAATGTGGACTCCTGAACCAGGGTCACCAAGGGGGCTGGGGCCATCCCAGCCACCTAACGAAGGGGACACACAGGCCCTCAGAGCCACTCCTGGGTCTGGAACCATTGGCCAGCTGTTGACGGAGCAGAGCTTCTTTTTGAAATTGTTTTCACAGAAAAATTGATGGGCACAGGAGACCACAGGGCGCGATGCCCGAGCTCCCAAGGGGCCTGGTTCACCTCCCAGGGCTGAGAGGACATGGGACCTGTGCGCAGTGCCAGCTGTCATGCGTGGGGCTGAGTCCTGGGCCCCACGAGGGCAGGGCCCCATCCTGGCCATCAGGCGTGTAGCCCATGTGCAGGACGCTACTCACTGGTGACAGCCAAGGTGACCCCGGGAGGGGCCGCTGCCTTTTGGAGTAGGCTAGTGGCAACTCTGGGAATCTCGGGAATGAGAAGTGAAGGAATTAGTTCGACTTGGGCTGCAGGCCTTTGGGGTCTATGGAAGTCACATCACAGGAGGGAACTCAGCGCAGGCCTGTGCCCACCCACC